CCCCAAAACCCCAAAACCCCAAAACCCCAAAACCCCTTTCAGGAAGAGAGATATAGGTAATATAATTTAGTTAAAATGGATCTGAGTAAATTTCAGGTAGAGACCACGCTGGCTTTAGTAATCGACGGTATGGGTTACTACAAATATGAGAAAGAATGAGCTGAGAACATTAAAAAGGTAAGTGAAGAGAAATTGGCAGAAAGATAATTGGGATATTTAAGGAATTTAAACAGAAGGATTAATAAGAAATTAAAATTTTGAGATTTTTAATTTAGATGATGTTTTTAGGCTGTTTGAAGCTGTTTTGAGTGTTTAGAATAGGATTTTAGGTTAAGGGTTGGGATTTAGGTGTTATTTTCAAATTTTATTAGGAGAATTTGGGAAATCAAAATCAAAATTTTGTAGAAATTGGTTTCTTTATTGGCAATTTTTTAATATCTGTTTTGATGAATATACCAAAGAAAACAAAGAATTTATTTCTTGCTGTGCCCTTTCTTTCGTCTACTTTAATAATATTCTTATTGTAATTCATCCCAAACTTTTCTTTTCATTAGCAACCAATTTTGTCAATTTTTAAAATAATTTTGATTCAAAACCTCGTCAATGATATTTTTCCTTCTCTCAATTAGCTCTTTCTAGTTTCATTTAGCCACTCGCTTCCAAGAATCTGACCGATATTGGTCGCCCAGGTACAGAACCCTTAGAAGGAAATTTAGAGACTGAAGAACGGAAGGGAGGAGGTAGTCGACAAGAGGTAGTGGAGAAGGGAATTGAAGAGGAGGGGGAGGAAGAGAGGAGGAGGAATGAGAGGGGGAGGAAGAGAGGAGGAGGAATGAGAGGGGGAGGAGTGAGAGGGGGAGGGAGAGAGAGGGGAGAAAGGGAAGGAGTGGGAGGCAGGAGAGAGGGGAAGGGTGGGAAGGTTGGGGGAATAGGGGGTTTGGGGATGGTAGAGATGATTTGGGTATTGTGGAGAATTTGAGAGAGATATGGCTTCTTTTTGAGTTAATGGTGATGAATCTAAAGTGGATGATATAGATCCTAAATTATGATGATCTAAGAATTCTGGGATTAAGAAAGGAAATAACTCTGACCAAGAAGAATCTCTAAATTCTGACAGAGAAGAATCTTCAAAAACTGAATCTAAGGAATCTTCCAGACCAGAGCTAGAGGAGACTGTTAAATCAGAAGAAAAGGAATCCTCGAAGCCAGAGCAAGAAGAATCTTCAAAGATAAACCTTGAAGAGTCTCTAACGATTGATCCAGCTATGCCCTCAGAAACCCTGGAACCTTCCTCTCAAGATACAAAGCCAGGTATATTGCTAATATCATGTATATAGATGAGCCAAGTGCTACAGACCCTGAACTTCAGCAACCTGAACCTGAGACTCAGCTTGATAGCTCTATAGAATCTCCTATAGAGTCTTCTAGCCCGAGAAGATCTCCTAATAATGAGAAGAACAGCTTTGCTTATAAATTTAGAAGAGCACCTTATTTTGAGCCTTTGCAAGTGATTGTGAGTGAAATTCAGAAATTTTCAGAGTACCTTCCAAAAATCATATTTTATTTTAAAGAAAAATCTGAAATATCTGATATTTTGACTGAGAAAGTTAATAAAGAATTTGCTTATGATGAAGGACACCAAACTTCAAATACAGAGCCAAAGCTCCAAGATAAATCTACAAACAAGCATAAAGGCTTAGTTAAAGTCTGCACTGGCCCTGATTTAGTATATTTTGAAATCGGCCGACAAATGTCAGACTTTGGTACAATGAAGATATTCACTGATGAAGAACATTTCTTCAGCAAACCCTTTGCTAAATTTTTCCACAATAAATACGAAGTTACTGTTGAAGAAACCTTTGAGATTCAAGGTGTTGATGCTCTTGTTGAGACTTTTGAAGAAGTCACTACAAAGCCCATGGTAAGTATCCGACTCATTTAGAAATCTCAAATTACTTTTATTGATTTTCTTACCAATATAGAGTCTTGCTCCACACAGCGAGGATTTTAGAAAACAAATGTCGATAAAAATTGAAAGAGCTATATCTAAAATCCAAGATAAAAAAAGAAGAGAGGAAGATCATTTAATGAGTTGATGCTATTTTAATGACACCTGGAGGCCTCAACCTTATAATATCATGGTCAAAAAGCTCCCATTCTTGACTCCATCGAAACTCTTAGCGATGAATATATTTTCCGAAGCTGAGTTTAATATCAAAGAGATAAATAATAAGACACTGATTGATGCAAATTACAAAGAGTTTATGAGACATTTCTTGAAGAAGTTCTACTTGACCTTCAAAGAAGTCCACACTTATGATGCTAAGAAGTTCATCAAGAAGCTTGAAGAGATCATGGAGTGTCAACTTACTGAGTTCCTCAATGCTCTCAACAAAGAGATGGATGATAACAAAAAGCATGCCTTTTTCCTATTCATAAGGAACTATCTTTTTGATAAAAAGATCATTTCAGGCCGCCTTATGCATCTCTGGGTCACCACTGAGATGGGCGATTCTAAAGAAAAGATGGCTCAAAGCTTTAATGTTAATATATGCCTTGAAGATTTGGAAGCTATGATCACAGATTTGGATAAAAATACATCCAAGTTTGTTGTGAAAGGTCATCAACTCTTTGGCGAAATCGAGACCTATGCAATGACGTGTTATTATATTATCAAGTTATTGCTGTCGAAGAATTTCTCTGGAGAGGAGCCTCCATATAGGACGGCTAGGGAGATGATCAAAGATCTACATAATGCTTTAAAAAATTATTATAACAGTAATAATGTCACGACAGAGGAGAAGGTAATCATCAAGAAAGATCATAAAGTCAAGTATCTTATAGTAGAGATCCTTAGAAAAAGAGAAGTTTGGAATTATGAATTCGGCAAAATGTGAATCAGTCTTCCGAAAGCTCATGAAGTTTTGGAGAATATGCAAGACAGTACTTTTGAAATTAAGAAAGACCAAATAATTAGCGATATCAAATCTGTTATCAGTGATGAAAGTAATTAAAATTTTATCAAAAGAGCAAAGGTTCTTGCTATTCTCAGAATAGATCGGCCATCACAAACCCAATCAGGATATAATGCTAATTCATTTTAGATGTTAATCTCATTTTTCGAGGACCTAAGTCCTTTTCTTTTCTGGCTGTTTAGAAAGCTCATAAAGGTTTTCTATTCCAGGTTGCATATTTCCTTTTTTATTAATATTTGAAAATACTCTTTCTAAGCTCTCATTTATTTAATTTAATTGATAAATCCAATCATTACTTCTGATCCAGGGGTTTTGGGGTTTTGGGGTTTTGGGGTTTTGGGGTTTTGGGG